ACTCCAGCCTGGGTGACAGAGTGAAACTCCATCTCAGAAAAAAAAAAAAAAAAAAAATCAGTATGTCTTGAGTAAGGAAGCCCTGAGAACATGGGCAGAAAATGGGGGCAGGCAGACCAGGAGTTTGAGACCAGGCTGACCAACATGGTGAAACTGTGTTCTACTAAAAGTACGGTACAAAAATTAGCTGGGCATGGTGGCGGGTGCTTGTAGTCCCTGCTGCTCAGGAGGCTGAGGCAGGAAAATTGTTTGAACCTGGGAGGCAGAGGTCGCAGTGAGCCAAGGTTGCGTCACTACACTCCAGCCTGGGAGACAGTGAGACTCGGTCTCACAAAAAAAGAATGTGTGATCTGCTTCTGGAGGGCCCTGCAAACGAGGGCAGTGAAACATGCAAGGAGGCTACTGGCAGGTTCTGTGCAGCATGGTTTCAGTAGGGGGTAGAGAAGTAGCAGGGAGATGGCTTAGGAAGGTAAATGACTAAGATTGGATTGCATAACTGAGACATGAACCCCAACTCGACTGTCTCACTGCAAACTCCTGGGTCTTAACCCCTGTGCCATTCTCATTGCCAGTTCCTCGAGGAGCATCTCTGACTTGTGCCAACATGGAAAAGTTTTCCTTTCTTGTCTTTATTCTCTCCTAGGCCCCTGTGGGTGCAGTATCCTCAGGATGTGACCACCTTCAGTATAGATGATCAGTTTTTGCTTGGTGAGAAATGAGGACAGTTGGTGATGGGTTGGCTTGGGCCAGGAAGCACTGAGGATGCCCAGGGAGGGACTAGTGAGGCTAGTGGTGCAGAGGGCAGGCACTTTGGTGGTCCCTGGTCTGGGAACTAATCCCCTCCATTCAGAGTTGATTCTGGTATATTTTAGGGGATGCATTGCTGGTTCACCCGGTATCGGATTCTGGAGCCCATGGGGTGCAGATCTATCTCCCTGGCCAAGGGGAGGTGAGTTAAGGAAGAGGGTGGTGGGGAAAGATGGTGGAAGCCAAAGGAGGCAAACCGGATGGGACCCCTGTGCAGTGAGTGATCCGGTGTCTTACCTCTTTTGTCACCCGCAGGTGTGGTATGACATTCAAAGCTACCAGAAACATCATGGTCCCCAGACCTTGTACCTGCCTGTAACTCTAAGCAGTGTGAGTAAGCCTGGTCCAGCTGTCAGTTCCATCTCCCTGTAGATTTCCAGAAGGGGAGAGAATGTGTGCCTTAGGGTCCAGTAGCTACGTAGGCATACATGAGTAAGAGCAAAACATCCTGTGGGGCCCTAGGTTGGACAAGGAGGCCGCATCATCCTGGCATTGCTCTTGCCCTAGATCCCTGTGTTCCAGCGTGGAGGTACAATCGTGCCTCGGTGGATGCGAGTGCGACGGTCTTCAGATTGTATGAAGGATGACCCCATCACTCTCTTTGTTGCGCTTAGCCCTCAGGTAGGTGCATGGGCAGCAAATCTCCTCAGTCATTTGCCTACCTTCCTAGGTCTCAGTCTTCTGGGGTTGTTCCCCTCATTTACTCTTGGGCTTAGGCACTCACCTATCCCACTTTTTGCTCAGGGTACAGCTCAAGGAGAGCTCTTTCTGGATGATGGGCACACATTCAACTATCAGACTCGCCAAGAGTTCCTGCTGCGTCGATTCTCATTCTCTGGCAACACCCTTGTCTCCAGGTAATGGAGTACCCATTCTTCCTTGGCTGCCTTTGCTGGGGCCTGTTCTTTTCGGGGGCTCCTAGTTCGCTGTGCTCTTTTCTCACATCCTGACCTTACTTTGGGTCTCCTCCTTCTGACATTTTTTCCCCCGATGGGCATCTGCTTTTGTCATCTCCAGCTCAGCAGACCCTGAAGGACACTTTGAGACACCAATCTGGATTGAGCGAGTGGTGATTATAGGGGCTGGAAAGCCAGCAGCTGTGGTACTCCAGAAAAAAGGTGAGCGACCATTCTGGCCCCCAGGATGGGGGAAGGAGGGAAGACAGGGCAGGTTTGGGGATGGCCTTGCCTGTAGGAACATATGGTATAGCTCATTGGTATGACCATGGCACTCTTTTTCCTTCCTCCTCCAGGATCTCCGGAAAGCCGCTTGTCCTTCCAGCATGACCCTGAGACTTCTGTGTTGGTCCTGCGCAAGCCTGGCGTCAATGTGGCATCTGATTGGAGTATTCACCTGCGATAACCCAAGGGACATTCTGGGTTGGGGGAGGGATGGAGAGCAGTAGTGGTGAGAGTTATTCTTTCTTCTGCCTTGGAGTTCAGCCCTCCCCAGACTTCACATATCCTAGTCTAAGACCCAGATTCTGCCAACATTTGGGTAGGATGAGAGGACTGACCCTGGGCTCCAAATTCCTCTTGTGATCTCCTGACCCCTCCCACTCCGATGATACCAAGCCTTTCCCTTCATGCACCCAACATCCAGTTGCTCTAACTGGAGCACACTCACTTATGAAGACCTGGAAACCACAGGGCCCTTGCCGTCCCTTCTCTTTCTCTTATTTAGGGGCCCTGAACTCCCCCAGACTATCTATTCATACCTCTTGTATGTTGATGCTATTTCTTGAAGATGAGGGCAATGAGTTAGGGCTCCTTTTTTCCTTCCCTCCCACCAGATTGCTCTCCTTTCATTTATTCCTCCAGGATCTACTCTGTCAGCCCTCCCTTTTTTATGCCCCACTGATACACTGGGACCACCCCTTACCTGGTGTGGGATGAATGGATCAAAGGAGTGAGGTTGCTAAAGAACGTCCTTTTCCCTCTCATTCCATCCTTTTTCTCTTCCTGATTCCTTGTAGAGCTGCTGCAGTTCTGAGGGGCAGTTCTACCTCCTCTGTCCCTTGGGGGAAAGAAGTTTCCACATCTCTTAAGAGGGGATGGGCATTAAACTTCTTTTCCTCCCTTTTTGTCCCCTGTGAGGGGCATTTAAGATGGAGAAATCAGTTGTGGTTTCATTGAATCATGGTCACCTGTATTTATTGCTGGGAGAAGCCTGAGGGTGGGGGGAGATGATCATGTGTGCTTGGGGTTGGCCAGAAGCCCTAGGTTGGGGGTTGGGGGATGACTAATGGGGAGCCAGGGGGAATATTTGTGGGTATTTTTTTTACTTCCTCTTGGTTCCCAGCTGTGACAGGTTTTGATAAAAGGAGAAACAATAAAGGGATAAACCATAAATAACTGGTGGTAGTCTGGATTCTATTTCTAGCCT